TCCCTCCTCTTCCTCCTGCTCCTCCTCCTCCACCTCAACCTCCTCTCCCCCCCACGCCGCTCATATCATCCTCATCAACGCTCCTACTCGTTTCATGCACCGCCTCTCACCTCTTCGCACCTCCACTCAACTCCTCGCACCTCCTCGCACCTCCCTCCTCTTCTCCTCCCGATTATTGCTCCTCGCCGTTCGTGCCTTCCTCATGTTCCCTCCTCCGCCTCGGTCCTCGCACGTCCTCGCACCCCTTCGCACTTCGTCGCATCATCCCTCTTCCCTTCCTTCTCCCACCTCCTTTCCTCCCTCCTCATCCTCCTCGTCGTCGCATTCACCCTCATTATCATAATCATCACAACTACCATGACTATCACCCTCACCCTCACCCTCATCATCACCATCACCATCATCGTCATCTTCATCATCAGCATCATCGTCATCATCCTCCGCAGTAGCATCACATTCATCCATATCACTACCATCATCACCATGACCATGACCATCATCAACTTCATCAGCATCATCATCAACAAAAACCTCGACCTCGACCTCAACCTCAACCTGATCATCATCATCATCATCATCATCATCATCATCATCATCATCATCATCATCATCATCATCATCATCATCATCATCATCATAATCATCATCATCATCATCAGCATCATCATCAACAGCAGCAGCAGCTGCAGCAGCATCATAACTCTTCTTAAATATACCCAGGCCAGTGTTGTTTAACGTTTTGAACTCGGCGTGTTGGAATTGCTTTAGCAATTAATGCCCAGCAGAGCAACTGATTATCCCAGTGCGACCCTACCTAGAAGTCGGATCCCCTAGGAAAGCAGCAATAGTTGCTCTGCTATGCTATGCTATGCTATGCTATGCTATGTCATGCTATGCTGCGCTATGCTATGCTATGCTGTGCTATGCTGCGCTACGCTATGCCATGCTGTGATACACTGTGCTATGCTGAGCTAGGCTATGTCATGCTGCGCTGTGCTATGCTAAACAATGCTATGCTATTCTAGGCGAAGCTGCGCTATGCTATGCTATGCTATGATATGCTGCGCTATGCTATGCTCTGCTATGCTGGGCTATGCTTGGCTGTGTTATGCTATGCTATGCCATGCTACTGCAACGCTGCGCTATGCTAAGCTAAGCTGAGCTAAGCTAAGCTAACCCTCTAGGCAGAGCCTAGGTAGGGAATTACACCCATGCTCATTTTGCTGTTATGCTATGCTATGCTCTGCTCTGCTATGCTATGCTATGCTGCGCTGTGCTATGCTGTGCTGTGCTGCGCTATGCTATGCAACGCTAAGCTAAGGGGACGTAACAGGGGGAACCGCGGGGCGGATACTGGGGGAACCGCCCGGGGTGATTTCCACTGCCCGGCCCGTTTAAGCCCAGAGAGTAAGAACCCTTCTAGGCAGAGCCTAGGTAGGGAAAAACGCGACTCGACAACCGATTCATATGTTCTGCGTGTTTCGCAACGTTTAGCGATGTCAGATCAGTTGGCGCATCGTCTAACACTGCCGGCTACGACGTCCTCAGGTCCTTCTCCTTGAACGGGCGAAGAACGGTATAACATAAACTTTTTCGCTGTCGGGGGGGCCTGTCCCTGGGCGGCTGGAAAGTTTATACCCCTACGGTGGCACCGTAGGGGTATAAACTGTCCAGCCGCCCAGGGACAGGCGCCCCCGACAGCGAAAAAGTTTATTCTATACCGTTCTTCGCCCGCGGACTCCTGGCGTGCAGCCCTCACCCCTCCGGCTCTCTCGGCCCGACTGCTCGCCGTCCTCGGAGCCCCCTCGCCGGGCGTCGGGCCTCCGGGCCCGATGGCCGAGTGCCCCCCTCTCGGGGCCATCGGGCCTCCGGGCCTGCTTCGGGCCAGTGTTGGACTGGCGTTGGAGCGTTTTGCGTTCGCGGTGAAAGACACATAAAATGGGAGTGGAGGCAGCAGGGAAGACAAGGAAAAAGCGCTCGACCAGGAATCAAGAAAACAGGGGTTGGAGCGTTTTGCGTTCGCGGTTTGAGAGACAGAACATGGGAGTGGAGGCAGCAGGGCAGACAAGGAAAAGCGTTCGAACAGAAAGCAACAAAAACGCTAACAAACATATGATCCACAACGGCGGGCCTAACACCGCTAAAACAATGGAGCTAAGAGCGCTGAAAGAACGTTGCGTCAAAAGCCCACAATGCATGACGAAAAACAGACACACCAAGAGCGCTTCTAAGAAGAACCACGGTCATCATATTTATCTTCATCAACAACACCAGCGCCAATAGCAACAGCATCAGAAGCAGCAGCCGCAGCAACATCGTCATCGCCATCGTCGTCATCATCAACAGCATCATAATCATCATTACCACCACCTTCATCATCAGCAGCAGCATCAGCATCGTCGTCACCATCATCAGGATCATCACCATCATCATCATCATCATCATCATCACCACCATCACCATCACCGTCACCATCACCATCATCATAATCATCATCATCGCCACCATCATCGGCATCACCATCACCATCATACACCTACACATGCACATACGCAGGCGCGACAGTGAAGACGCAGGACTGCAAAAAGCGACAGAGTCGACCAAACTGTCGACACCAAATGCCAGACATGCCTGGGCGTCAAACACAGACGTGGCCCTGGGCGTCGAAAATTCAACTCATGGGGCAGTGCCGGTAGCTCTAACAGGCCAAGCTGCTGGATGGGAAAGAAAGAGGAAGGTGATGAAGTGCCGGGGAGAAGTGGGATACTCGGAGGGGGAAAAGGGAAAGACGTCGCGGGAAGGACAGTCAGCACGCCACGTCCACAGTCGCCCTACAGACATGGCCTATCGAATTCCCAAACTATCGTTGGCTACTGACGCAGCCGCCACTTCGCAGGCTGGGGCAACCTCCGGCTAGACGTCCAAAGTCTGCCACACGGCTCAAGACACGCTGTACAACACGACAGCCTTCCGACGGCCCCAACGATATCCAAGATGATCCCATGACGGCGCAAGAAGGCTCCAAGACGGCCCCAACAGGGCCCCAAGACGGCTCAAGAGACCCCCAAGACACCCAAGATGGCCTCCAAAACGGCCCTGAAGCGCCCCAAGAGGGCCACAAGTCGTCTCAGAGAGGCATCCAAGACGGCTTCCGACGGCGTCAGACGGGCCAGGAACGCCGTAAGACAGCCAAAGAGGCCCCCAAGAAGTCCCTAACGACCCAGAAAAAGGCCCAAGGAGGCCCCCAAGAGGCACCCCAAAGGCTCTCATGAAGCTCCCAGGAGGCCCAAGGAGTGGCCCTAGAGGCCCCCAAGAGGCCTCCTCCTCCTCCTCCTCCTCCTCCTCCTCATCCTCCTCGCCTTTTCTCCTGTTTCCTCCCTCTCCTCCTACTCCTTTGTCTTCCAAACGCGTTCCCCAATTGGCTTCCACACTGGCTGGGGGACCGCATGGTTAGCGTGGCCAAGCTTTGCCCAAACGTTTGTCCTTAAAGGAAGAGGGTGGCAGAGATTCGCCCTAGGCGTCTTCGACTAGTTGGCCCAACATGTCTGCAACCCACGTCGTCATGTGGGTACAACATTGCTGACCAAAGCTCGCCTTAGCAATTTCCATGGGCTCCCCACTTCATCTCGGGATCGGCGGAATGGCGTAAGCCTCTCGAGGAACTGATAGCAGCTTTGATGAAAAGAGGGGTAGGAGGAGAAGGAGGAGGAGGAGAAGGAGGAGAAGGAGGAGGACGGGGGAGGGATGAGGAGGAGGAGGAGGAGAGGAGAGGGTGGAGCAGAAGGAGAGAAGGTGAATCGCTCCCAGTTGAAAAATCCGCCTCTGCGGGGGCTGGGCGTCTGTTCCTGCAGTGCGTTTGCCTGGCTCACGACAGGTTCACCATGGGGTGTCCGCCTTCCCAGAGAAACCGGCCGGGAGCGGGGGCTGAAACCAAATCCGCTCAAACTCTGCTCCTGGACCCCTCTCGGGGTTATCCTGTGCACTCTGTCACTCTGGACAAGTTCTTCATGGCCCCAGGGCCCGAGCCCGGCCCCTGGAGGCAGAGACGGGCAACGAGACCTAACCCGGGGCCTCGAAGCTGCCCGCCCCTCCTGCTGGCCGGAACAAGTGCTGGGCCGTTCCAGACCCCCGGACGGACTCAACCTGGAGACCCTTGTGGGGTGGTCTATGACGCCCGCGCGCGGCGGGCTGCGGGGCCGCCGCAGCCGGAGGGCTCCTCGGACGCGGAAGGCGAGGCCACCGAGCGCGCCTCCGCGCACTCACGGCAGTCGCTGCTGCAGAGGCCGCCGAGGTGCTCGGACCACGCGCCCGCGCTGCCAGGCTGCGCCCTCATCGAGCAGGGGCCGGCCGACCCGGCGCTCCTATGGGCCTACCACGGACCGTTCGCAGGGCAAAAGGATGTTCCAACAACAGGGCCACCGCTCTCGGACCCTAGAGCCGATGGGCTACAACAACACTCTCCCAGCCATAAACATCCTAAGAGCAGCTCGTGCAACCCAAGAGCGGTCCTCAGAACATCCCTTGGTGGGCCCATAGGCGAGTCAGGGCGCTTCGCCACTGCCTGACCTCAGGAGCCTCTCCCGGACAAGGGCCCGACGCTGCGCGATGCGCAGGCGGCGGCGCTGGACCACGTCCACGACCGCCTCGCTAGCGGCTATGCCCTGCGCGCTGGAGAAGCTGGCGAGGGGCTCGCCGCAGGCCTCGGCCAAGACGCCTCCCACGACCCCGGAGGACTCGGAGAGGGGCGTGCTCGTGCCGCTGCAGCTCTCTGTGGTGGACCCGCTGTCAAAGCGGTGGGCGTCGAGCTGCCTTCCGGCCCGTGGAGGGAGGCACGAGATACTTGCCGTGTCCGCCTCCAAGAGCGCCGTCCTCGGGCCGGCCATCGCCAGGCGCCGCGTGGATTCGGGCGCGGAGGGCCGAGCGACACTGCCAGTCGAATTGCGTCCGATCTTTGAGCTCAGCGGCTACGGGCAGCATCCGGCTGGCCGCTCGGGGCCGCCCCCGCCGCGAGGTGCACGAGAGGCGCACTGGAGGCGGGGCAGGAGTGAACGTCACCCGAGGAGCCCCAACTTCGCCTTATGTTGGAGATTCAAAGGGCATTCTCTGTCGCACGTCCAAGCCCCCAATCCACGCGTGCCCGCTCGAGGATGGTACACTTCCCGCAGGGCAGCTGAAATCTGAAGCTTCATTTCATAAGCGCCCGCTCGAGGATTGTGCACTTCCTGCATGCCTGCTAACTCCAAGGCCCCTCATCCCAGCTCGAGGATCGTGCACTTCCCGAACTCCCAGGCGCTGCTTCCAAGCGCTCAAGGACCTCCCAAGCAACAACCCCTCATTAAACACAGATGAATATGCGTCCTAAGCTTCCACGACGGTCCGTGCAGGCGACCAAGGACACCAAGATGGCCCAAGATGCCTCGAAGCTGGTCCAAGATGGCCGCAAGGCGGAATATTGATCCAAGACGGTCCTAGATTCCTCCAAGAGGACCCAAAATGGCCACATGAGGACCTGAGACAGGTTCCGAAACCTTGGGTGTTTGTCTGATTTTCGCCTCTACCGCCCGGCCAAAGAGGATTCCACGATGGCCTTAGATGTATCCGAGACGGCCCCAAGACGGCCCAGAAGGACCCCCCGTGGGCCCTACGACGGCCCAAGACGACGCCACGACGGCCCCTAGACACCCAGCATGCGGCCAAGAGGGCCCAAAGACGGCCCAAGACAGCCCCAAGCCTGCGTAAGAGGGCCCCAAGACGGCCCAAGAGGACCCCAAGAAACCCCCACGACTGCTTGAATTGAGGCCAAGGAAGCCCCAAGACGGCCTAAAGAAGTTTCATCATCATCGTCACCATCATCAGAATCACCATCACCATCACCATCACCAGCACCATCATCATCATCATCATCATCATCATCATCATCATCATCATCATCATCATCATCATCATCATCATCATCATCATCACCATCACCATCATCATCATCATCATCATCAACAGCATCATCATCATCATCATCATCACCGTCATCAGCTTCATCATCATCACCATCATCATCAGCATCATCAGCTTCATCATCAGCATCAACATCATCATCATCATCATCAGCATCAGCATCAGCATCCTCATCATCACCATCATCCGCATGAGCATCGACATCCTCCTCCCCATCACAGTCACTGTATCATCAGAAATTCAGTATCGTCGTCATCATCAGCATCTTGGTCTTCATTATCATCATCAGCATCGTCATCATCAGCACATTCATTACTATCACCGTCATCATCAACGTCATCGTCAGCTTCGTCGTCATCGTCATCGTCGTCGTCGACACCGTCGCAACCAGCGTCGTCGTCATCATCATCATCAGCATCGTCAGCAACTTCATCATCGTCGCCAACATCATGATTATCATCACCATCGTCGTCATCACCATCATCACCATACTCACCAACATCGGCATCATCACCATCTGCATCCCCATCCGCATCCTCGTCATCCTCCCCATCGTCATCATCACAATAATCATCATCATGAGCATAATCATCACCATCATCATCATCATCATCATCATCAGCATCATCAACATCATGGTCATCATCACCATCATCAGCAGCACTATCATCATCAACATCATCATCAACATCACCCTCAACAGAAACATCATCACCGTCGTCTTCAACACCATCATCATGGTCATCACCATCATCATCAGCATCATCGTCGGCATCGCCACCGCCCCCGTCATCCGCACAATCCCCATCATCCTCGGCACGGCTCCCCGAAGCCTGGAAGCACGGGGTGTCACACGTGGCGGCCTCCCTCCCGTGCCCCCTCGAACGGTCGCCACCTGAAAAAAGCTGGGCCGGCACGGCTGCGGGACGTGCCGCAGGCAGAGGGGAGAACATGTATGAGAAGTGTTGATCGAGGGTACACCCTGCGAAATGCTTAAGAAACCATGGGTTAAGAAATTCAGAGTCTCAGAACTGGAATAAAAACCCAGAACTTCTATCAAAATCTTGGGATTTACATTGAAAAGTTAAGAATAATCAAGACTCTGGCCGAAAACTTAGGTTTTCTTAAGCATCGCCTAAGGGGTAGGGGGAGGAGGACGAGCAGATGCCTCCTCGCACAGGCGCTTGGAGACAATGCGGAGGCACGTGGAGAACCTGATGGCGATGCAAGCGGGCGCACCTGGACGACGTGGCGTTTCCGAGTGAGACGGCCAGCGCATGCTGTGCAAGCAGCAGCTGATCCTCCTCCTCCTCCTCCTCCTCCACCTCCTCCTAAACAGCCCCCCTTCTCAAGATGTGGTTGCGAGTCCGCCGCAACACCTCAACTTGGCTGAGGTCCGAACAATGTCGCGATGGTGCCCGTGTCCCATGGCAGCGGATGTCTCCTTGCCCAAGCGCCCAGAGACATGTGCGGAAACACGGAGAGACATGATGAGGGTGATGGTGTAGCTGATGAGGCTGATGGGAGGCATTCGTGGGGACCTGTGGTGGCCTCCTGGGGCACCTGGGGGGGCGTCTTGGGAGACTCTGAAGGGTTGATTGGTGGTCTCAACTTTTTGGGCCCCTCTTGGGGGCCCAACAGGGCCGTGTGGGGCCCCTCTTGGGGGCCCTCTTGGGCCGCATTGGGGTATCATGGGCTGTGTTTGGCCATCTTTTTTGTTTTTTCTATTTTTTTCCCGGGCGAGCGACGGGGCACCGCTCGGCCCGCCGGGCAGCCGTCACTTCTCCTTCTTCTGCGACGCCGCCGCGGGCGCGCCCGCGAGCACGTAGGCCAGCGTGCCAGCCAGGACGAGGACGCCTCCGGCCCAGAACGACGGCCGCGGCATGGGCGGCCCGTTGAGGCCCACCGCGCTGACGACGAGGGAGAGGAAGCGCGCCAAGGTCACCACCACCACGTTGCTGACCTGGCCCCCCATGGCGGTCAGCCTCATGCACGACACCTTCATGGCCGACTGAGCAACGATGTTCACGAGCAGCATCAGCCACAGCGTGGGCACCCGCAGGTCGAATGGCGTGAGCAGCGGCAACGGGTCCCACCTCATGGCCCAGGTGCGCGCGTGCGACAGGATGCCCTCCGAGTTGACCAGGAGGACCGGCAGCATCAGGACATTCGTGTAAAACATTGTCTCCTGGAAGTGCTTGCCGTGCCTCGCGAAGGAGCGCTCCTGAATCACGTTCATGGTCGAGGTGGCGATGGTCCCTCCAGCCATAAGCGCGGCGGCGAGCATGAACGCGCCGCCATCAAGGCTTCGCTGCGACTCGTCGGAGGACGTGGGCCTGGCGGACAAGGTCGAGGTGATAACACCCAAGGTGATCGCAAGGACGCCTGCCGCTTGCCTGCGGCTGTAGCTCTTCCGCTGCACCGCCCAACCGAGGCCCATGCTCACCACGAGTCCAGAATTCTTGATCACAAGGTACACTGGCATAGGCAAGCCCACGTCCAGGGCTTTGTTGTACAGCGTGGTCCTGCCCCACTCAAATACCAGCCCGCACAGGTGGTAGCCCATCGGGATTTTCCGGTCAACGAAAAATCTGCGCACGCCGCCAGAAGAGAGGCACTCGAGAGCAGCGTAGACAATCTGGCAGAAGAAGATGAGGCCCGAACACCCGCGGTCCTCCTTGTTCAGCAGCTCGAACGGAACCACTGAAACTACCATGGCGCAGACGACCGCCACGGCAGCCCATCTGATGGCACCAGGGCCTTCGCACTCTGCGGCCAACCTTGGCGCTCCCTGAAGGTCGTCGTCACTGTCGTCTTCGTCCACGAGCGCGAAGGTGACGTCCAGGTAGCTGTCGGCGCGGCCCAGCGGCCTCCGCGCCCGGCCGAGGCAGCGCAGCGCCGCGGGCTCGGACCTGCGGCGCCTCAGCGTGGGCTGACGGTCGCGGGCGGCCTCCGACGGCAACGCGGCGTTGGCCACCCCGGGCCGAATCTGCTCCGTGTAGGCGCGCCTCGTCCGCGGCTGCTCCTGGCTGTCGTCGGACCCTTGCCGCCGCCGCAGCTGCGACGCCACCGGCGCCGAGCGGCCGCCGGTGCCGTCGGGCTCGTCGCAGCCCTCGCCGTCGCCGCGGCCGGCGCGGCCCGCAGCCGCCCCGGCGGGGGGCAGCCGCACCCGGCGCATGGGCGGGGACCCGCCCCTTGGGGCGCGCGGTCGCCGGCCGGCCGAGGGGGCTGCTGGAGGCCGCCTTGAGCCAAAATGGCTACGGTGGGCTGTGTTTGGCCATCTTGGGCCGTTTTTGGGGCTCCTTGGGCGCATCTTGGGCAGTGCACTCTGTTGGGGCCGTATTGGGCTGTCGTGGGGCCCTATTGGGCCATTTCGGGACCTTTTGTGCGCCCGTGGGCTGCCTTGGGTTGGTTTTGGGAACCTCTTGGGCTGTCGTGGTGCGACCTCGGAGGCCGTCAAACCTCTGTGGGCCGCTTTCGGGCCGAACAGGCGGGAGCCCCGAAATCCCCAAACCATCAAAGGGGCATTAATGCGTCTTGCCTCTCGGGGGTCCCTTTGGGTGCCTTGCGGGGCGTCTTGCGAACTTCGAGAACTGTCTTGAGGCCGCATTGGGCCGTCTTGCAGCGCCCTTTGACCATTTCGGGGCCCATTGGACACTCTCGGGCCGTTTTGGGCCTCCCTTGGGCGTCTGGCATATATTGTAAGCCGTTGTGGGTGCTACTGGGGCCGTCTTGGGGAGTTGTTGGGCATTGTTCGGGCTTTTGGGGCCCAAAACGGGTGCGTTCTTCGGACGTGGAGGAGGGGGAGGGCCCGCTTTGGACCCCCAGGGGCCATACCCAGACACGCGTGTATATATTCATGCGTTCGTATGCGCATCTATATATATATATATATATATACATCCATCCATCCATCCATCCATCCATCCATCCATACATACATACATACATATACACATATATATATATAGTATATATATATATATACATATATATATATATGTAAACATAGCG